TTCGGAATATCGCCATAACTTCCTTCGGAATGCATAAATTCTGGATCTGAAACAAGAGTTATACTCAGCTCATTAGGGCGAACCTTTGATACTTTGCCTTACCGTAATTCTCGGGGCACGATTGGTGCACGGTAAGAGATGAATTTTGCATTTTGGGAGAGGGGATGTGGGTGTACGGCAGCAAGTGAATCCTTTTGCGATTTTTCTGAAATTGTAGGGAGGGGGGGGGAGTAATCAGTGGTATTGGGTGTGGTTAGTTCTAAAATATGCGAACATGCCGTGATGATGCCGTCGATGTTGTTTTTCCCCTCTTCTGTTTGTTTAGTAGCTTCAAGCATCTATTTATTACTAGAAGGGGTGGGTTCGAGTCCAGGACACGAATATTGTGTTCACCTCCCCTCCCTCAAGAAGCAGAATTTTTCTCCTACTGTGCACCAATCGTGCCCCGAGAATTACGGTAAGGCAAGGTACCAAAAGATTCGCCTTAATGAGCTGAGTATAACACTTGTTTCAGATCCAGAATTTATGCATTCCGAAGGAAGTTATGGCGATATTCCGAAAATTCCGCGAAATTCCCGGAACGTCGCGAAATTCTGGAAATGTCGCGGAATTCCGGGAATTTTGTCGCGAAATTCCGAAAATTTCGCGTCGCGGAATTCCGGGATTTTCGCGACATTCACGGAAATTTTGCATGTTCTGAGAGCGGTATTGTATATCATTATGTGCACTGTTAAGCAGGGAATGGTTAAAACTTAACCAGCCATACTAACAATAAGCATATTATATATCGTCGGAATCGCCTTGAAACTTTGATCAAAAATATACGTTTTTCATCTGCCAAGCAGCTATCCGAAAGAAGTTATGAGCGTTTGAATGTGCGATTTGCCAAGTGTTTTGTGGCTCATGTTTTACGAAATACGTTTCAAAAACACTTATTAAGCTTTTTAAATAATGTGCTTCTTCCCTGTAATTAGATTAACAATAGCCGCTGTAATTTCTCGTCATCAGGCTGCCTTCAAATGAAAAATACCTCGAAACTCGTTAAATTTCTCATATCTAAACACTCATAACTCCTTCCAAATAGTCGCTTGGCGGATAAAAAACTATTTGAAATCAGCGTGCTAAGGCGAGTCCGGTGGTATACTGTTTGGAATGGTTGGGTAAAGTTCTGACCATTCCCTGCTCAGCTTGTACTTTTCTTATCGCCAATCCATTCTTTCACTGTAATCTCAACACCCAAACATTCAGGTTCTTCGGGCACAAAGTATTTTAAATTCGATGTTTAGGTAAACGGAGCTATCATCTCGAAAAGTGTGGAGAGATTTAATCGCAACGCATTATAGTTCAGAAACGCTGATGGCCAGTATTTACCGCTGTTTTCCATAAATAGCGATTTAGAAGAGCTTACTGTTGGTTTATTGTATATAGGATTATCTTTGCTCGCTGTACCTATACATATCATTATACTCTATGTGAGTTCTTCATTTACAAAAGTATAAGTACATGATTTAGCTATATAACATCTTTAGGTAATGTTCACTGACAAGGAAATTACTTCAAATTCCCAGTATCGCCTCATGAACCAAATCAACCTCGCAGATTCTGGTCAACTTTTTGTTCATATACTCTCCGGTATTTACATTATATATCCCCAAATACAAGTACAGTACCAATTCTTAGTTAGAGTAAGTTGAGGGCTTAACGAAGACAATGAAACAAGAGTATATTCTTGTAGATAAGCGGTTGCACTTTGAACTCTCTGTGGTTGGCGACTTTTCCTGTCATGTGCATATTATCAATCCAAAGAATACTAGTGATGTGTAATGCTGCTTCTCAAAAGCGTATCTTAGCACTTAGAGTTAGTATTTCTTAATATTGTTGTTTTGAAAGTTTTGTCGGTTTCTTTCATCGATCACTGAAACTCACAGAACACCAACAAGGGCAAGCTAGGTACCATTTAATTCAGATCTTTATCCTCTTTTAGTACCATTTGATTTAAATTTTTAACCTCTTTCATACGACTATATTTTCTCTCTAATCTACCTTGTCTTTGCTATGTTTGTTATCGCCATGGCTTTTTGAGCAGCTTAGCAGTAACGCTAAAGCTTTCGTGAATTTTAAAATTTTTTATCCCAATGTTTTCACGAAGCGCTGGTAAGTTATGTAGAGCAAACCTTTGGCTACATTTTGTTTATTTTAAATTGCATGGGCCACGTTTACCAAGTCCGTTATAATTAATTATTTAATAAAAACCGCGACTTTTTGATTACGTTTACCATGTAAAAGTACCGAAAATTCTAAAAAGCTGCTCTTTCAAATCAAATCAAACTTGGTTATGTTGCATAAATAATGTTTATTAGGAATCATGTTTCAATTTGCAGAAACTTCAAAGTGTGTGTGTATTTGCTGCCGTTGCGTGTTTCATGACTTTGCCAAAAATCGAGACCTCTTAAGAAATTTTTTTCAAGCTAAAAACAGCAGATTCGGAGAATCTGAAAATATGTTCTTGTAGCCCAAGAATTGCTCTATTAGAATCATACTTATGCATTCCAAAAGCATTAGAATGAAATTTTTAAAAATTAGACTAACTTTGAGCAGGTGAAATTGACGGATGGAGTTCAACAAATATCGAAAAAAGCATACACGATTGTGGCTCGAAATGTATCCATAAGAAAGAGAAGTAAAGGCTGCATCGAATGCATGCTGAAACTCATTCAGGTGTTTATTGTGCGTGGTTTTACGTGGTTTTATGGTGGTTTGAAAAAACCGACAGAACTTTTAGGACGACCTCAAAATATATCACGCTATCACATATTTTCAGTTCTTGCTTGTGCTTGGATGGTTATACACGATAGGTGTGTGGCTGTGGAGCTGTATCACCCAAAACTTTCTGCTGCTAGATGTAGGCTGGGCTTACGACTTCACCAAGCTAGGTGCGACAACGCTGTCCGCGCTAGAGCAATATCTCTGTCTACCTAGTGTGGCATTAACGTACATCGGCTATTTGTTTATCGTGCTCTGTGTACATGCGGTAGGTGCTTACACTGCCGTAATGTAACCTTACAGTTTAGCTAAATATTATCTGAAGAGACAAATATTGCGGTCTTTATTCCACGAATTAGATACTTGAGCCTCTATATTAGTTAGACTCTATTGTTTGTATGCTGCATTGTGCACGCAGCGCTGACCACGACACTGCACTGGAGCGCGGCTGTGCTTTCATTTGAAAGCGCAGAAATTTAGTTGGAAACTGGAGCGTTTTCTTTTACTCGTGGTGAAAGCATTTTGAAGTTTCTTTCTGAGTTTATCTGCTTTGTCACATGCCGGGCTTTTTTATCTGTTTAGCTTCACATATCTTTGACTTCTGAGCCGTAAACGCCCGAAAATTTGCAGCATTTTATAAAAAATTTCTTGCTCATGATTTTCTAGTGTTACGCTTATCCATAGATTTTTACTAGTCTGCTTTTCGACAATCATACATAAGAGCCTTAAAAAACCTCAACGGATAAAGGCTTGACGCATATATTAGGTTGATGCATAATTCCTGCACCAAAATAGGTACAGACCGCAATAATCCGGAATAGTCCTATATCCCATTAGAATTCGACATATCATTAGATAGCGCAAACCTAGCTCTACAAGATAATGCTCAATTATCTACACCATGTTTAATCCACGCGAAGTTTTGAGACGAAAACTGAAAAATCATGCGTCCGAAAACCTTAAGACCAATCAAAACAATATTGTAACTTCGTTTAAAAAGCTCCTACAAAATTTTTTTCTTGCTCATGCGTAGACATTCCACGTAAGACATTTATCTATGCGGTTGCTGTATTTTTTCTAAGCTAAACGATGAAGAAACGAAGTTTTTTATGTTTTTGCCAAATTAGTGCTGAGATGTTCTAGCACTGAAATTTGTATAGTACATGCCGTTAGCAGTGAAACTTTACATTTTCAGCCTTCTAGAACTGCTAGTTCAGAAGAAATGACGAATCTAGCTCTCCTTATCCGAATTTTTCTTGCCTGGTTGCTAATCGATATTTCTCGTAAACCAGCTGCTGTAAAGAGCTGAAAATTCACACTCTTGCTTTCGAGGTCGTATAGTATACAACTGTTAGTGCTAGAACATCTCAGCATTGTTTTGAAAAAAACATGAAAAAGTTCGTTTTCTCATACTTTGGCTGAGAGAAGAATACAGCAACTGCATAGAGAAATGTCTCATACGAAATGACAATCATGAGCAAGCTAGGGATTTTGAAGAATTTTTCTGAACGGACTTCCAATTTTTTCTTGGTTTTCTGGGGCCCTTGGACGTTTTTCGTTTTTGGCTTCAATCTTCGATTGGATCAAAGCTGCTGCAAATCTTTAAGCACTATCTTGTAGAGCTAGGTTTGCGGTATCTAATGATTTATCGAATTCTATTTGGGATATAGGATTATTCCAAATTATTGCGGTCTGTATCTATTTTGGTGCAGGAATCATGCATCAACCTAATAGCAAATGCACTTATTGTCAAGCAGAAACGCCGAAATGCTTTGTACGAGTATGAAAGGACAATGCAGCTCTAAATTCTGTTCGATATGAAAGACGATGTCAATTTCGAGTAAATACCAACCGAGCAGAGCAAATCAAACTTGCTTCCATTTTTTTGAAATTGCGCCGGCTTTGAAGCAACAACTGCATGTGTCAGTGTGGCATACGGGTTCAGTGCGAACTGTGGATTCAGTTCTGAAGCAATTTCTATACGGCTCATCAGCGTACCATTAGATAGGAGCATGTGACAGCATGATAACGATACGATGTGTGCAAAGTTTCATGCAACAGCGATTGTTGACGAAGTTCTCGATGTCCGCGAAATATAGGACTCTTTAGAATTCAGTGCGGAGTTAATAAGCTAATTTTTTGAAATGTATTCATTTCAGACCAAACAATCATTGAGTATTTCTGGCAACAGCTACGAGATCCGCATTTTTATACAGTCAACGGTCCTTTGCGCCTACATGTTAGCACTGATTATTCTGTGGCATTTTAGCGGTATTCTAGGTGCGGTCTTGAGGCTGCACATTCAAATATCTGTTCAGAATCCTTGCTTTACGAAGCAAAAAGCACAACTGCTATACTCAACAGTGGCTGGATTTGCTTTTCATATCTCAATCCCTTGCTGCTTATCACATTAAACACGTAAGTAATGACATTTAATCAAAATTGATGTCATTTGGGAACATTATTTTGCAGAACTATTAGGAGAAAAGTTATTCGAATGCTCACTCGTGCCTACGGACATCCGAGGCAATGCACATTTTGTGCGAACAAAAAGGTTCCTGTACATAACGAAGTTACGCTTTTTAACAACTCCCACTATTAGTTATTTATGTCGTCGAGTCAATACACAGTTTCATGTATCCGAGTCCACTTCAGGATTAGCTATGCTCGACGGCAAGATATTGCGATAGACGTTGTAAGAAAGTACGAAAAACCACGAACAAATAATGTAATAATTTATGAGGACTTTTTCTTAATGTGACACATTCATCCAGTGGCATTATACGGATTGTGATATAGACCACAAAAGCGTTAATTCTGCCATTTCGCCAACGCATGTACTTACGTAGACTTACGGTGTAAGGAAAAATTGTGTTTAGTTTTTGTTTTTCTGCAGATTTTCGTGAAACTTAATCTAGGGCTATTTGAAATGCTGATCACAAAAATAATACTCCGTTTGAAAGTGCTCTTGAGGTAATATAACCAATTTAGCACAAATGGATTTGGCCTCCGGTATGTTGAGTTTAGTGTGTTTCAGCAAATTTTGAAGTTCAACGCTTAGTTATTGCCGAATGTCTTTTTTATCTACGCTTTCAACTTGTTGAACTTCTCAAGGACGCCAGATCTTAAATTGCTTCAAATCCAACTCTTAATGATTTCATGAGTTAGCCTTGACAACATGCTGCTTACACATCCGAGCTTTGACGCAATAATTGTATGGTACAGCGCTGCTGAAACCTGCACATTTGACTTTACGCGGTTGCACGATACCTACCTTAACACATACTAACGCTCAAAGATTCTTGAAGGTAAAATGAAATTAATTCAGCGACAAGCATTTGCTCTGCAGAAACAAGAAATCATCGGCGACTGAAAATTTTTAAGTTGCACTATATCAAATAAAAAAGCGTGATATGTAGCCAGAAGTTGAGACCATCCTGCTTCTTCGATCTCTAAGACGAATAAAGCACTTTCAGCTGTTGTAGTCTCTATCATGCTTTTATAATAATATTATATTTCATCTAGCACATGGCTATCACTACTAAGTGTTCTATTCTGTTCGTCAATCAGGCGTTGATCAAGCTTACATAGGGTTTGCGCGCAATCGCCTTCAGGTTTTCTACCTCTAGAAACTCCCAAACACAAATTTCGGTGGAAACATCCAGGATTTGTGGTCTTCAACGCAAATTGCCATGCTTCTGTCGCACTTATCTCGAGGTTATCGAATGGATGGAAAGAAAGATATCGTCTTTCGAAGAGCGCTTGTTTCAAGCTCTTGTATTTGAATCAGCCTACTCATCTTCACAGATTGTATAATTGCGTAAATTTCTTCAGTTGCTTTTTGGAGGCCACCTCCGCCTCTGTTCAGCTCTTCAAATGAAAGAGCTAAATCCCAACATTATCAAAAAGTGCTCCAATGCAAGTCTTGTCTTCAAAGCCGAAAAGTTCAGTGCCGTAAAAACTTTCTACTAATTCTACTAAATGAAGACTCTTGTGCAAAAGAACATTCATCTCAAATTAACTTCCATAGCTAATAACGATAGGCCAGAATTCCGATAGGTGAGGCTTCTTTTGTAATACATAGACAAGTTACGCGTGAAGTCATGCTTTTATTCAAACACTTTCAGTCCATCATTGGTTCACTTCAAAAGATAAAGTAATGATTTGAATTCCAATCAAATTAGTAATCCGAGTATCTCTCAAGTGGGAATAAAGACGCTTGAAGGGCGCATGCATGAGATCACAGCTACAAGACGCATTACAACAACCCAGGGCTTCTGCTGCTAGGATTATTACGAGCTACAAAGGCTTTACAATGCACATTTTCAACAATCTTAAACAATGACAAACTTGGGCTAATTGCTCTGTAAGCTAGGACATCGTCAGGTCACCCATTCCTTTGATTCCCATCTGCAAATTCTATGGTGTTTTGATGTGGCTTACTGCTGAGGAAGTATTGCAAATTGTATTTGACCACGTCTTGAGAGTATTTCTCAATCTTATGATTTTGCTCGATATTTTTCATTACGACCATGTAATGAGTTTCTTTGTGTTATGGTATTTATGTATGTATTGCTACCATATCAGTCATGATCTTTTCAAAATCTATCATTCACAGAATATTTCTAGAATTTTGAAAGTTTCTCAAATTGGCACCTACACTCCACCTACATAGCATTACGAAAACTTGTCGCAGTGAGTGAAGGTCGCAGTTAGATTTAGCAAGTGGGAAATTACCTACAGGGTAGACCTGTAAGTAGCGGTTAACTTTTACGAAATTCAGTCATAATTCACTTGTGTAACATTATTGTCAAGGTGCTAAAAGATGTGATAAAAAAAATGCAAGTTCCTTGATTTGGAATGGCACGGAAGGTATAGTTATGAAATATGTGAAACATTTCATTCATATAGAGCAAAACAAGCTTTGAAAGATGGTGTTTAAATGATCAAGAGATATCAAACTAGGATAAAAAACTAGAAAATGGCGCCAACTTCATAATTTTGGACTTACTTATTTCTTGATCTCCAGTCATGAAAAAGATATGGTAAGCGTAATGTGAATTTTCAAATGTGTACAGAATTCTGAAAACAGCAATTTTTCGAAATCTGTAATATTTTCAGTAAGCTACAGATTTCCATGAATGTTGGCCTAGGGGTTTCAATGCACTAAACAACAACGGGGCCTTCACTCGAACAACTCAAATTATGTTTTTTTTGTTTTTCTTTTGTATTGTCGTGTTGCCTAAACAAAGTTTCCTTACTCATTTTAACGAAGAAACTTCGTAGAATCTTGCTAAGTCATGAGGATTTCGTTTTCGAAAGCCTCCAAACCAACGCATGTCGAGCTCTGACGTACCTCTCTCACACAAATAGGTTTTTACTATTGACGTGTTCAGACAGGATGTTGCATACGATGCGATATTAAACAACATGCTCGATATTTTGCACTAAGCAGTGGACAACTCTCTCGCCACAATTTAGCGATAATGACATGCCACCGAATCCCGCATACAAGCGGGCAGAGGCTAAGAGAAACAAGCAACGAAAGTTTGTGAGAAAACCGTATAATAAAGGGTGTGGCAAGCATTTCTCTAAGAATTTATCAGTTCAATTTATCAGTTTTGCAGTTTCAATGCACAAAGATGGCAAATTTTTAGCTCACACAATTTTTTTCCATAATTTTTAGATACTGTTTCGTTAGTATTCACTATATCTTAGGTCGTTCGATAAAATCTTAGAGTCTTTATGAATCAATGAAATAACAATATTTTAGCGATATACAGTAAATAATGAATGTTCAGTTGTTGCGTGCAACCTTCTTCCGCCATGCGTCAGATTTTTTGTTCCCTCCAAAACTCAGCGGATCTAGTCCTGAAAAAGTCGCTTAACCAGCGCCTGAGATCGTCTTCAGGATCAAAACAGACGCCGCTCATATGTTTTGTGACAGACGTGAACAGATGATAATATGCTAGAGCGAGATCTTAGAAGTATAGATACTAATGTACCTCCCGTCTGCAGGAAGCTATGACGACGGTTATTGCCGTAGGGGGCAGCTTTGTCGCGCAGAAAAGCACACAGGACCTGTCTATCAAGACGCTGCAGTAGGGATTCGTTTAGACGACGCAGTCGGGTTTGTACGGTAAGGCGATCTCTTGCTCTTGCTTAGCAATTTTCACAGGATATTCTGCCCATTCTAAGTCTTGTGCAGGGAACACTCTCAAATTATCTGTTTTTTCTCGAAGCAATCCAATCCTTTTTTGACAAATATGGCGAAAAAACGCCATGTCTCATAATTGGCAGAGAGATCTGCGCGAAACTTTGTTATAGGATGATCAAGTGCCAAAAATCCTTCTTTTCGCCATTTAAATCCCTTCTTTGGAAGCTGAGAAATCAAAGCAGATTGGATTTCATCGACAGTTAGTTTGTTTTGAAGAGATTTTCAAAGAGAACAAGAATGGAAACTTACACTTATGGAACGACTCAATATAGCAAGCACGTTTCTTATTCCTTTTCTTACTTTGTTAGAGAACTCGAAATAGTGGCGAGAGCATCTAATCACTAGCTTTTGAGAAGAAAAGCGCGCTTTATTGAACGCCTAGATCTTTGAATGAGAACTGTGACTCAATAAAGGAAAATCACAAGATTCGCAGTAAAAGCATTTGCAAGCAGTAGTAGCAAATTCTACGACCTCGTGCCGGCACACTATCTGGGACAATAGGAGGCCAGGTGAATTAGCATACAATTACGAATACAAAATTTTCCAGAATCATCGTCATCGACTTTTGCAAACTTTGAGCAGTGCGTTTTGGCATAGAGGCAAGTGAGAATGATCGTGAAAATGAGAGAATATCGGTTGCTTTTATTTGTATTGCTTTTCTGACTTTAAGCTGTAGCGCTGAAAACTACTTCATCTCCTCCCATCGGTCGATTGGGAGCACTGTGGATTGGATGAAACGATGGTCTACCCTATCCCTCAACACTAGCCTGGCTGCCAAGTCATAAGTTTTCTGTTTCGCTCAATCTACTTCGGAGAGACAACGATACTCGGAGACATGCTGGTTACAGAAAATAAGGGACAGTGTGCGTATAGAAATGTCATAAGAACAAGGAAATGTAGCTTAGAAGTAAGACTTTAATATGAATTGAAAATTTTATGGCTGACATTGATCAAGCAGAGTCTATGGCAGCTTACTTAAAATAGAAATTCAGGCTACAATTTTCGCGAAAAAGCCAAAATTGATTTTCGCCTTGATTAGCTTTAAGATTGTTAGGGTGGTTAAATTGCCTAAAAGAGAAAATTTATGCGTTTGAAAAGTTATTCCGCGACATTATGTCGCGGTCAGCAATTTCTTATTCTGGAAATTAATTTAAACTTGGAATAATAGATGTTTTTCAACGAAAGCCGCCTGCTAGAATTATAGCTATCAAAAAGCTACTAACAGGCAAATAGTGTTCGCCTGTTCTTGGCCTAAAAGAAATACAAAGTTGCTCTGTTCGCGACGTTGCGCGACGGCTACTGCCTATTACCACGTTGATGTGTTATTCATAAACTACGTTCGTTACTTGAGGAGCTGTAGCCTTCTCGAGGTTAAGCATTTGCGC